GCAACGCAAACAGGGTGCTCCTTGTGCCACCAGGACAGAAAAACAGGTTCTCTGTGTCTGTCCTAGCTATAGGGATCACCAAAGGACAAAACACAGAAGGATGCGACAGGCTGAAGCTTGCTGATGCCAGTCAGGACACATCGTCGGCAGTTGTCCAGTGTATTGGGTTAGAACCCACAAAATATAGATATGTAATTCTACAATTCACAGGTGAGGAGGCCAAAGTCCAAGTACTTAATGGCGATCAACAAAAACATTGCAGAATGGTCATAGGTTGTTTTGGAGAGCAGCTTGCATGCTTGGGGTAGAGCTCATGTGCCCAGGACCTGAAAGTAAAGAAGGCTGGGAGGGATGCCCTGGAAAGTCCCACGTAGCTACAAGTGCACACCAACGCTGGCTTTTTGGTGGAGTTAGGCGATTCAAAACCCACTGGGATGCTGGGCATGGTGATGCACACCTTTAATCCCAGCACTTGGGAGGCAGAAGTAGGCGGATCTCTTTTGAGTTCGAGTCTAGCCTGGGCTAGCGTAAGACCCTGTCTCAGAACAAAACAAAGTACTAAGGGCACTGAAAGGAAGCACTTCAGGCTGCCCACCAACCACAAGATGTAGGTAGAGCACACAACTTTAGATTCTGTGCGGACTCTTGAGCAAAGTGCGTGTGTTTGTTGAGACAGGATCTTGCCATATATAACCCAGGATGGATTTGAACTTACCACCTTCCTGTCTATCTCCAGGGTTCTGGGACTGTAACCATTTCTGGCTTCCTGATCATACTATTTCCAAGTCATTGGCCCAACATGGGTGTGCCAAGGCCATACATAACAATGCTCCCTTGGAGGTTCTCACAAGGTACCTAGAAAGGACATGCTCTCCTGGCTGCTTACCTGGCAGTCACAAAGGCCATCCAAAGCCCCCACCTCTACTCATAGCCCTTGTGACTGCCAAGCCTCATTTCCAAGCTGCCTCTCAGGAGTGTCACTGGGTCACTTTTAGAATGGAAGACCCCACCATGAGTCACAAGGCCAGCAGTCAAGACATTCTTTTCCATGCTTTATTGCCAGCAGAAAGAAGACCGAGGCTCAGTAAAGGACCCAAAGGACGAGAGATGTGGCGACAAGGGAAAGCATGTGTGGAAAATGTGTCCACTCGCTGCACTGTTACCAGACAGCCTCCTGACTAGTACAGGGAAGCACCGCTACATAAACACTGACCACAGGCCTGGGTGGGATGGACGCCTGAGCTGGTTTGGTAGAGTGCTTATGTAGCATGTAGGAGGTGCGGGGTTCCATCCCCAGCACTTCATAAACCAGGCATGGTGGCACTTGTCTCTAATCCTAGTACTAGGAAAGGGGAAGCAGGATCAGGAGGTTCAAAGTCATTCTCAGCTAAGTAGTCTATTTGAGACCAGCCAGGGCTACGAGAGAACCATCTTAGAAAACCAAAACTAGCTGGGTAGTAGCAGCAATGGTGGTGGTGTGTGCCTTTAATCCCAGCAACACTCAGAAACTCACTCTGTGAGTTCAAGGCCAGCCTGTCTACAAAGCAAGTTCTAGGAGAACCAGAGCTACACAGAGAAACTGTCTCTGAAAAACAAAACAAAACAAAAACCAACAGATAAAAACAAAACCCAAGAGACTATGAGACTACTCAGTGGTTAAAACACTGACTGATTTCCAGCATCCACAATGGCGGCTGACAGTGGTAACTCCAATTCCAGGGGATCTGACACCCTTTTCTTGCCTCTATAGGCACCAGGTACGTATGTAGTAGGTACACAGACATACATGTAGCCAAAACACCTACACACATAAAATAAAAAGTTCAAAATAAAACACAAGCATCAAAAATCACCAACCCTGAAGGGCAGTGGTGGCACACACCTTTAATCCTAGCACTCTGGAGGCAGAGGCAGAATTTCTCTGAGTTCAATGCTAGCCTGGTCTGCAAAGCGAGCTCCAGGACAGCCAGAGCCACAAAGAGAAACCCTGTCTTGGGGGGGGGGGAATGAAAATAAAATAAATCACCAACCCAACCCTCACTAAAAACAACAAAAACAAAAAACAAAAATCACCAACCCGAATGCGATCACCTAAATCCTCAATCCTACCCTTGCTTGGTAAAGCAAGTACTTAAAGTGAGAAACATCAGGGAATTAACGCTGACTTTCACACAGTTCAAACCCTGACCCCATCTTCCTTTCATTTAAAAAAATTAGACATGCATTTATTTGGGGGGAGGGATGGCAAGCCACGGCCTGTGTGCAAAGGTCAGAGGAAAACCTGTGGGAGCTACCTGTCTTCTTCACCGAGTGGGTCCTGGGAATCCAACTCAGGCTTGGTGGCACGTACCTTCCCCCACGGAATCCCACTGCCAGCCAGACTGTGTTATAAAGTAACACTTTATAACTCTGTTATAAAGTAACAGACCCACAGTAGCTGCCATCAAATGTCTCTTCACCGTGTTATTCAGTGAGGAGAAATTGTATACAGCCCCGAAGATAAGGCATGAAATGAGGTACATCACTCCACTTAGAAAAGAGATGAAGGAAGGGAGGCCAAAAAGTTGCATATTTGCACAGAATGAAAACAGAAAAAGAAAAATCTTTAACTATGTGGGGGTTAAGAATACATCCAAACAGGGCTGGAGAGATGACTCATTGGTTAAGAGCACTGGCTGCTCTTCCAGAGGTCTCAAGTTCAATTCCCAGCACCCACATGGCAGCAGACAACTGTCTGTAACTCCAGTTCCAGGGAACCTGACATGCATGACAAAACACATAAAATAAAATAAAATAAAAATGTTTTTAAAAAGATGCACACATTAAAAAAAATAATAATACATACAAACAATGCCAGACGTGGTGGCGCACACCTTTAATCCCAGCACTTGGGAGGGAGAAGCCAGGGGATCTCTGTGAGTTCAGGGACAGCCAGGGCTATGTAGAGAGACCATGCCTAAAAAAAGAAAAATATATCCAAACAAGGTAAAATCTATGCATTTATCATCTGAAGTTCTACTACTAGAACTTCAAGTAACATTCTACTCTGCCGTGCACATTCTTCCATTTCGAATGAAGGCATTCTGGGGCTGGACTCTAGGTGCTCTAAGTCCCACCCTAATCACTACATACAAGGGGTGTGGAGTCACACACCTGTCATCCCTGCACTCAGAGGGTGGAGGCAGGGGGAGCAGAAGTTTAAGGCCAGTCTCAGCTACTTAAGCAAGTTCAAGGCCAGCCTAGGATACATGAGACCCTATCGGAAAGAAATAATTAAATGAAAAAAATTAAAATGAAGGCATCTTGTGTGTTTAGGTGTTGTGTGTGTGTCAAACTATAAAACTGGCTTTAGAGTCTACATTTGGTCAGGCTAGAATATATATTGCAGATTTCTTTTTTACCTTTTTTTCTTATTATTGTGTCAAGACGAGGTCTTGACCTGGAACTTACTATATAGACCAGACTGGCTTCAAATTCAAGAGATCCGCCTGCCTCTGGCTCTTGTGTGCCACTAAACCTGGCTTCTGGTCTATGTAATCCTGGCTGACCTGGAATATAATAAACTGAGCTAGCCTCAAAATAGCAGCAATCCTCCTGCCTCTGCCTCCTGAATACTGGGATTGTATACTCAGCTACAAAGGACTGTCTAGGACTTGAAATAGGACATCTCTGTGGCCATCAACAAGAGGAGCCAAGGCAAGAACAGGGATGCTCAGCTTTATAGAGGCTGACAGGCAATATTTGCAAAGCAATATTTGGTATGATATGGCCAGATATTTGGAAGGAAAGATGAGTTAGCCACTAATGTGCCCCTCCCCCAGTTACTTCCACCCTGAGCTGCAAGTAGATTTGTCTATAGTATCTGAACAATACATAAGTGGATGTTTCACACCAGAAGTCATGTGTGTCCAATGTCCATGGAGAGACTCCCCCAGCATGGGTTCCACAAGTGAATGAAATTCAAGAAAGTGTGAGCCCCATATGGTCACCTAGAGAACAGACATATCCTCAGAAGGACTCGAATCTGTATTCCAGACACTTGAAGCCCAAAACAGAACTTCTCAGACACAGGGCACCAGAGCCATGAAAGACGACGGGTACCTCCACCAAGTGTGGCTCCAGGGTACACTGAAAAACCAGAGTCAATGGCAGTCCCAGTCACACCCTGCAAAAGCCAGCTTTCTTTCCAGAGTCCTGGCAGAGGAGTGTCACCTCCAGCCTCTGACCCAATTCTCTGTCCACTCTTCTCCCCAAGGTTAAACTAAAACAACAACTTCCTGGACCCCAGACAAAAAGCACCTAACACACATAATCATAAAAATTTTAGGACAAACAATTCAGATCTTAAGGTTGTTTATGCCTAAGAATGTTCTAGAAGCAATGAAATGAAAGATGTTACTGACTATAAACAATTTTTTGTATGGTCTCGAGTCAATTAAAAGCAAAATAAATAAGCAAATCCCATCAGGGTCAGTTGGCTATATGGGCCTAGCTGAAAAACAGGGAATGTGTGATTCAGTTAGATTCTGGAATAATCTTCAAGGCCCACCCAGAAAGTTTTTGGCATCAAACTCCAAAGACATTTTGTAGCCCCATCTGTATATTTTCCTTCTAGAAAGGCTGGGTGTTAGACTACACTAAAGTCCAGAGAGGAGAAAAAGATCCCAGGACGTCTATGGGTGCCTTCATTCAGAAATACAATGGACGGGGTGGGGTGGGCTCAGCTTCCCCAGCACCATAAAAACAGAAAGGCATGAAGAAACACAATGGAATGACCAAGTACACAGGGTCCCTAGGATCCAAAGGCAATCAGGTTCCACTCTGAGGCCCAAGTGTCCAAAATAACAAGAGACAGTACTCATTAACCAAGTCACCTCCAACCCCAGAAGACGTAAGATAAAAGTCACATTTGGAAGTATGAAGATTAACACACACAGAGCTCACCCAGCAGCCAGTTTAAACTTCCTTAAAATCTTCAAGTGCTTTCTTCAAAGTTCTGATAAACTTGACTGGATCTGCCTTTATTTAAAAACCTTACAAAAGATTTAAATGTTGGGGGAAAAATCAACTTTATATTCTATGCAGATAAATTTTTCTAACTACACAGTTAATAGGGGTATATCCATTGTTCAAAAAATATGTTTTTCCCACTAGCAACACTCTGATTAAGTTCTATTCTAATAAGTTCTTTCTCCTCCAGTGGGTCTTAAGGTTGACACACAGTGGGAAATACCAGGTGTGGCATTCTTGCTCAGTTTATTGGGAGGATTGGGGTTTGGCTGCCGGCTGGTTTTTTCTTCTTCTTCCGTTGTCTTTTGACATCACTATGCCTGGTGCCCTTAGATGTCCGGGCAGCTGACCTTCACTTGTCCTTGGAGCGGTCGAGGTTCTCCAGCACCCTGTTGAGGCGAATGTTGAGCAGTCTCACCTGGTTCTCCAGGTGCTCCAGCTTCTCCTCTACACTGGGGCTGCCAAGGCCACCGGGACTGCCTCTCCAGTAGCCCATGGGCCCCGTCATAAAGTAGACGGCCACCACGAGGCACAGCGGCAGCACGGCATGCTCGGGCTCACCCTCGTACTTATGCAGAATATACACACAGGACATGGAGAACAGGATGACACGGACGAGCCAGAAGAATCGACCAAATACCAGGTGCAGGAGGCTGAAGGTGAAACCCAAGGTCAGAGACAAGAACCAGTAGGCCAGGAGGACCACGCCAACCAGTACCAGGGCCCGGGTTGGACTGTTGGACACGGAGGCTGGGCTGAAGTACTGTGACAGGTTGGACACTACGAAACAGAACAGAAGATAGGGCCAGTTATTCCCATGTGGTCAGGACCTTCTCTGGAAGCAGGTGGGACAGCTGAGCTCAGGGACTAGACCCAATGGCTCCTGTCACAACCTAATACAATGAAAGCCCAATTAAAGAAAGCACTTGAGCCTCCAAAGTAGCAGAGGAAGTACAGGCGGCCCTCTGGACTGTTTGTCACGTCATGAGTTTAAAACACCTTCTGTGAGGCTGGAGAGATGACGGATCAGCAGTGAAGAGTGGTAAAAAGCACTCTTGAAGAGGACCCAATTCAATTACCAGCAACCGCAGGGTGGCTCACAACCACCTGGAACTCCAGCTCCAGAAGACAAATCCTCAGGCACTGCACATATGTGGTACACAGACATACATGCACAAAACACCCACACACAAAAATAAATGACCAGTAGATCTCAAAAAAAATATTTTTATAAAAATGCTGCTGGGGTTTGAACTCAAGTCCTTGTGTTTGCAACGAGCCATCTCCTCAGGCTGGTCACAGAGCCTCGCGTCCGTCATCCCAGTACTTGGGAAGCTGAGGCAGGAGGATCAGAAGGAGCTCAAGGTCATTCTTGGCTTCACCGAAGTGAATTTGAGGATAGGGTGGAGTACAAGTGAACCCTGTCTCAAAAGCAAAGCTAAACAAGAACCACAAAACCAAAAATAACAGTAAAGCGGAAACGGTAAAATTGATTTCAGCAACTTTGAGACGGGGCGGGGTCTCAGGTAGACCAGGCTGGCTGGCCTTGAACTCAAGAGATCTGCTTGCCTCTGAGTACTGGGAATAAAGATATGAACCAGCACGCCAGGGTAAATTTCATTAATTTCTTTTGGCTTTTGAGACAGGGTTCCCCATATAGCCCTGACTGTCCTGGAACTCACTCTGTAGACCAGGCTGGACTCAAACTCAGAGATCTGCCTGCCTCTGCCTCCTGAGTGCTGGGATCAGAGGCATACACAACCACACCTGGCCTTCACCAATTACTTTTCCCTGTAACATGACCAGTAGAAAACTTCTATATGCCTCAAAGCTTATTTCTATCAAACTGATCCGAGTGGAGGAGTCTTCATTGTAACTAAGACCCTGAAAACTGATGGGGAAGGAAGTGCTTGGGACCAAGAACAGTCACAGTTCCAGGAGAGGCAGCTCTCACACTCCTGCTTCAAGCTTGAGGTACAATTCTGAAAGACCTTAGGGTACCCCACAGCTTATCAAAGTCAAGAGAGAAACCCACACCCTAGAAACAAGGTATTTCACCTCCCCCTCCAGTTCCTCTCAGCTAATCGCAACAGGCCCAGGTTCCTCAGTGATGCCTGGTGTCCTGTAGCTGTCTGGCTCTGCGGTTTCCCTGCCTGAGCTGCATGCAATTCCTTGCAATCAAGTTTATCTCAACAGGCTGGCCGCCCAGGGATGGCAACCTGGAACTGCACAATCCCAGCAGGTGATGGCTGAGGCAGTCTCGCAGGATTGCACACGGTTGCAGTGTTTGCTGATGTGTTGACTCAGCTCCAGTCCCAGGGAGGGTTGTAACTGCCCTGGGGGCAGAGTGCTGCAAAGGATCCTCTGAGAGCCACTCCCCTGCCTCCCATTCTCCATCTGAATAGCAAGGTGGCAGGCCTGGTGTGAAGCCCTTCAATGGTTGGGTGATTCAAGGCTGGAAGTGAGAACTAACAAAAGCAGTGACCTGTGGGCCCCACCTGTACAGCGGGCCTCCACTTTCAACTCTGGTCCCAGAGCTGTAAAGAAGGGATGCCCAGGACTAGTGAGAATTCTGAGAGGGTCTTGTTACAAGGCTGTATCCGTTTTCTGACCCCATCTACCAGGTGACTGACAATGCTTGGATGGTGAAATCCACCCTCTCTCCCAGTTCCAGAGGCCAAAAGGCCACATCCAGGACCACACCCCCAAAGCATGGTCTTCCCTGACTCCTCCACTCACTTTTCTCTCTACCGACTTTGTCTTGGCCATGCTGAAACACAGCTCTGAGCGCACCTAGACGAAAGCTCTTAGAAGCATCCTAAGGCCTCTCTCGGCTTTCAGGGGGGCTCCAGGTGGTCGGTCCATGGCTCATAACATCATCATCACTGCAGGCTCTGCCTCCATCATCTTCACAGCCTTCGAAGCTTGGTGGACCACACATTCAGCTATTAAAGGTAAAATGCTCCTTCCTACCTGTGGTGCCCTTAACACTCTCATGAACCCTCAGTAGGGTGCAGGGAGATTCACTACACAGTGAGACTGCACCCCAAAACAAACACAATACCGCATGTGGCCATCCCCATACCTACCATCAAGTCCAAGGACTTCCAAGAGCTCCATCCAAAGTTTCCACAGTGTCTCCACGAACATGTCCACGCCCTGCACGAACCGCTCGGTCAGCCTGGACAGTAACTGCAGGGATGAGAAGACAGTAAGAACCCGACCAACATACTGTCTTTCCAAACCAGTCAGGCACTGAAGCGCGAACCTGGGAGAGGACATCTCAACAGAAAAATCAGAAGCTGCCTGCCTCATGGGCAGTCTAGAGCCGAGCGATGAACTAGAGCTGATGGCTGGCCCGCCGCTGAGAATAACGGGAAGATGCCCCAGCCCTCTACACAGAGGAGCAGCACTTGGGGTGAAGGTGAGTGGCTCTCAGTCAGGGTATCTACTTCCTCTGCCTAGGAGTGTCTGCCCTCAAGATGCTTCCCAGGGAAGCTGGCTCTCTAAGGGACCAACTCTGAAATCTGAGACACGCAGCAAGGGTTCATGCTCTGTCTGTGACCTCGAGAATTTCATTAGGTCTCTAGGTGACTTGGAAAACCCAGTAGACCGGAAAATCAGAAATTGTGCTACTTACTGCCTGATTTCCTTATTGTCTTCTGAATAAGGGATCGTGCTGGCTAGTTTCATGTCCATTTGGCACATGCTAGTGTCATCAGAGAGAAGTCTCAATGGAGAAAATGCCTCCAAAGAAATAGGGTGGTAGGCAGGCCTGTAAGGCATTTTTTTAATTGGTGATTGATGGAGGAGGTCCCAGCCCATTGCTGATGGTGCCACCCCTGGGCTGATGGTCCTGGGTGCTATAAGGAAGCAGGCTGAGTAAGTCACAGGGAGCAAGCCAGTAAGCAGCACCCTCTGCACTTTCTGCATCCTATCTCCAGGTTCCTGCCCTGCTTGAGTTCCTCTCCTGACTTAGGTCATGGGGTCTCATCACCACAGTATTAACACTAAGCAGGACAGTGATATCAGATACACCTAGCACAAATCTCGAAGCCAGGGCTGGAGATATAAGTCAGTGGATAATGCTTTCCTAACACGCATGATGTCACCACATAAACAGGGGGGCTCAAAACTGTAACTCCAGCTCCATGGAGATCTGAAGCCTTTCTCCGCTCTCTGTGCTTGTACAACTGCGCACACACGTGTGCGCGTACACACACAGACACACACACACACACTTTAATAAACTTAATCCTAGAAAAGGAAAACATGAAAAGCCAAGCATAGCGGTGTTCGCCCGTTATCCCAGTACTCAAGCAACAGAGGCAGGCAAATCTCTGTGAGTTCAAAGCCAGCCTGGCCTACATATACATAATGAGTTCCAGGACAGAGTTTGCATAGTGAGACCCTGTTTCAAAAAAAAAAAAAAATCAAACAAACAAGCAAAAAAAAAAAAACCAAACACACACACACACACACAAACAAACAACAACAAAAAAAAAGCAGAAGAAAGAAAGGAAAGAGGAAGGAGGGAGGGAAGCACAGGCAGGCAGCAGTACAGCTCTCGATGGCACCAGTTGTCCAGGAGTAGTGTGCAGGAGTTATTTTAGAGTAAGTGACATTCTGGCTCACGCTGTACCTTCCAGGCCTTGGTTTTCCCAGCTGGAAAATGGGTTCAGGAAAGGATTTAACATAGGAAGCTGAAGAAGCTCAGTATGGCAGGACCCCAGGTCCAGTCAGATCAGTGACGGGGTGGCAAGGAGGGGCTCCTGGGAGGACAAATCCAGACCAGAGGTTCTTTCTCAGGCTGTGAACCGGCCAGGAGGGAGAGGACACATCAGGGCAGGACCCAGCCCTTGCCCTTTCAGCTGGAGAACATGCTGGTTCCTCTGGTAAAGCTAGACATGGAAGGAGACCCACAGACTTCATGGAAATGACAGGATTCAGCTGTGTTCTCTTAAACTTAATTGTGAAACCCCTAGACCCCAGTAAGAGAAACTCTGTAGACAGGGTCTTTAAGGGGGCAATTTGACTACAATGAGACCACTACAGTAGGCCAAGTCTAATAGGACAGCGGTTGTTATAAGACAGTGTGTCAGTGAGATGGGCTTCTCACCCCAGCTAGTCATAAAGCTGAGACTGTGTGTGTGTGTGTGTGTGTGTGTGTACACATGTGTATGAGTGAACATGTGTGTATGTGTATGTGTTGGGAGGGGGTTGTCTATGCAAGCACCAGGGCTGGCAGAGTAATGATCCTGAATGAGGCAAGAAGAAAATCTCGTTCAACAGGGCTCAGTGGTTCAGAGCCTGACCCCAGGCAGTTTATTTTGACACATTTAAGCACAGTGTGAGAGCCAGCCATGATAATCTAAGTCTGGGCAGGTCACCCAAAGGAAGTTCTTTACTTCCTCCAACCATTATCACCTGGGACTCTGGCCATCGATTAATTTCAATGGAGGCAGGAGTCTCAATTGTTTACAATTGATTCACCCCACCTTTTCTACTATAAAACCCTATTCTAATTGAGCTCGGGGCTCTCCGGTTATTCCAATATGAGAGACGGAGTTTGAAAACTTGATTAAAATAAAGGCTCTTTGCTTTTACATACGGGACTCTAGGTTTCCTTGTCGGCTTGCGGGGATTGCAGATTTGGGCATAACACGCATCACAATTCGGAAAAAACGTTTCCTGGTGTAACACAATCCCATGTGTGCACAGGGAGGCATAATTACATCCAAAACACTCCTCAAAGTTCATGTCACTTCTTCCATGAAGATGAGCTCCAGATTCAGGCCACATGTGTCATCCTATGGGCCAAGCGGAGGATCTGGCGTGGACTCTATCATACAGATAGCACAGAAGTCATCTGGCCTATCAGCCACCTCCAGTCCTGTTTGTGAGAGCCTGGGGGAGGCCCTGGCCACACAGATAGCGCAGAGGTCATCTAGACTATTAGCCACCTCAGGTCCCGGTTGTTGAAGCCTGCAGGGAGCCACATATGGCCTAGCCCCAGAGATAACACAGGGGTTACCTAGGCTATAGTCACCTCCATTTCCAGCCCTCTGAATGGAAAACAGGTTGTACATCTTTTCCCTTGAAAAAGACAGCCCTGTATGTTTAACATTCCTATGCTATCTGTGAGCACAAGGACCTCTGTGCTCTCAAAGAGGCAGGGAGATTGCAAGTTCAAGGCCTGCCTTGGGTTAAAGAATGAGTCCAAGGCTAGTCAGGACATCTTAGTGAGACACCCTCCCACCTCAAAATAAAAAAGTTGGGGGTGTAGGTCAGTGTTAGAATCTTTGTCTAGTTAAAAAACAAACAAACAAACAAACAAACAAACAAAAACAAAGAGAGAGAGAGAGAAGTAACATCAGACACACAGAGGACAGCCATCAGAACAGAGGGTGAGGAAGGCCTGCAGGTCCATTCTGGGGTACAGGGGAAGCCAGCCAACCACAACCTTGACCTCAGATCTCCGGTCCCAAAGCAGTTAGAACTGCATTCTCATGTTCCAACCACCCACTGGGGTACTGGGTTCCCGGTGAGTGTGAGTGACAGCAGAGTTTGGAGCCTGGAGGCAGAGCCAGAAGATACCACCAGGTCAGAGAGCTGTCTTACATTCGGACTCCAAATGTGTTGGTTCAGGGAACCCCAGTGGGGGCAGAGGTAGGCGGGTGATACCAATATGGCATGGTAGAGCAACACAGGTAGAGAAGACTTCCAGGAAATGTTGCCACTAAACAAAACGGGTGAAGGAAAATAAATAAATAATAAAATAAAAATTGCTCCCCATATCATGGGGAAGAGCATGCAGGAGGGGGGCAGAGGATAACTTTGTGGAATGGGTCTCCCCTTCCACCTTTTTGGGGGTTCTGGTGATTGAACTCAGGTTGCCAGGCAGGCACAGCAAGCACCTTTATGTTCGGGTGAGGGCTCCACACCACGCCCCCTCCCCTGGAGTAGCTTCATTCCACTCCACCGGAGAAAGCCCGCCATCTGTGCTCCACCCCCAAGGGCATTAAAAGGCCCTACTTCGTGGGTTCCCCTCATGCTCTCAGCTTCCCCTGGGGCCACAGGAATGCTGTGCTCAGAATAAACCTGGATTTATGAATTCAGCAGTGGTGGATTCCCATTAACTAGGAATCAAACAACATTTTACTCACTGAGGACACCTTTACCCTCTCAAAGACAACTTTCAAACACTGATCTTCCTGCGTCCACCCATTCAGTGCTGGAGTATCCACCATGCCTAACTTTATTTTATTTTATTGAGCTTAGGTCTCATATATCCCATTTTCCTGGTGTTTAGGAGACAGGATCTCAAACACACACACACACACACACACACACACACACACACACACACACACACCAAAAAAATATGACTAGCGCCTGCATACTGTGAAACATTAGAGTTAAACACCCGTTTCCTGGGCGGGATCTTTGTGGACTGTGCAGAAGATACCACCATATTGCTGTCTTACTTCAAATGGTGAAAAAAAAAATGCAGAAAGTGTGTGTGCACTGCGCTTGTAGAAAAAACAGAAAATACGTGCAATGGTGAAGGCAGGCTGAGGGTCTTTGTGCTCTATTTCTACTTTACTGTTTTTTGGAGTTTTTTTTTTTTCTATTTAGTATTTGAGTTTTATTTAAAGAGGAGGAGGAGGAGGAAGAGAGAGTCAGGGAAATGATCTAAGTAAAGGCACTTGCCACTATGCCTAAGTTTGACCCCTAAGACTGAGAGACCTCCCCCCAAAAGGTAGTCTCTGACCTCCACACAAACTGTGGCATGCACATGCACCCCCACGTAAATAAATAAATAATTATAAGAAGAAAAACATTGTTTTGTTTCGTTTTCATGACAGGGTTTCTCTGTGTAGCCCTAGCTGTCCTGGAACTTGTCAATTATTTTACTCAAAATACTTCTTCCCTGCAAGAAGCAACAGAGAAAAAAACTGTAAAAACAGAACAGACCAACTGTTGAACTGAAGACCAGCAAAGAGTTAAAGCAGAGGTCCCAGAAAAGACAGGGTCAACCTTCAGAAAAAATCTGAAAACCAAGTAACAGAAATAATAAAAAAAAAAAAAAGTTGAAACCCTCCCCCTTTTTCCTTTCTTTCTTCCTTTTTTTTTTTTTTTAAGTTCTTCACGACAGGGTTTTTTCTGTGTAGCCCTGGTTGTCGTGGAACTAGCTCTGTAGACCAGGCTAGCCTAGAACTCACGCGACCCCCCCGCCTCTGCCTCTAGAGTGCTGGGATTAAAGGTGTGCACCTCAACCACCCAATTCTTTTGATTTTTCAACGCACAGCGTCATGCAGCCCAGCATGGCTTCAACTCACAGTGCAGCCGAAGCTACCCTTGAACTATTACTACTCCTGCCTCCACTCCCCAATGCCAGGACTACAGGTGTGTGTTACAGGACCAACCTGGAACAGATCCACTTCTAACATCCACAGAGGAAGCTGTCTATGTGCACACGAAACAGTTTGCACAGAAAAGTTCTTCTCTTGTCACACTTGGAAGGACACACTCCAGTGAACTCCATCACACACAGCCTGTGCTCCCTGCAACCCTTCAAAAGCAACAAAGTAAGCTGCCAAGGCCAGGCAGTGTCTGATCACGTTTACGTGAAAATCCAAACAGGAGAATCTGTAGCGACGGAGAGACTAGCAGGTGCCTGACTATGGTGGAGGCCAACAGCTGAT